TTTCCTGCGATTAAGAATTCCTCATATCAGTGAGGTCATATGATACATGTCTTTCTCTGTTTGACTTATTTCACTCAACATAATTGTTTAATTTATTTTGTTTTTTTTTAGATTCCACATATAAGTGAAATCATATGGTATTTGTCTTTCTCTATCTGACTTCTTTTATTTAGTATATACCCTCTAGGCCCATCCATGTTTTCACAAGTGGCAAGATTTCATTCTTTTTATGGCTAAGTGATATTCCACTGTGTATAACACACTTTACCCATTTATCTATCTATGGACACTTAGGTTTTGTTTTTAATAAACAAGGGAACTCATGAGGCTTGTTCTGGGGAGCTGCAAAATGACTAGAGATTCCCACCTGCCCACCAGAATCTCAAAAGTTTATATAGAGGCCTTAACTGGGTTCAGTCATGTACGCTGTCCAGGTGGTCTCAACAATAACTTACTTTCTCAAGGCTATGTGGTTGGAATAGCTCCCACTTGGGCAAATTAGGATGAATGTACATTCCCAAAATGGGGTTTGGGTGAGGAGTATATGATTGCCTGGGTCCAGCTTGCAGGTCAACTGGCAGTCGAGTCCTCTTTATTACCTCCTCCAACATTTGTAAATACCATGGAGTATTTCACAGCTATAAAAAAAAAAAGAATGAGGAAGAGTTGTGTAAATGATATGGGTTTTCTTTTTTTTTTTTTTTAAAGATTTTATTTATTTGAGAGAGAGAATGAGAGACAGCACAAGAGGGAAGAGGGTCAGAGGGAGAAGCAGACCCCCTGCTAAGCAGGGAGCCCGATGCAGGACTCGATCCCGCGACTCCAGGATCATGACCTGAGCCAAAGGCAGTCGCTTAACCAACTGAGCCACCCAGGCACCCAATGATATGGGTTTTCAAGATCGATTGTTAAGTGAAAAAAAACGAAGTACAAAAGAATATACATATTATGCTACTGTGTAAAATAGAAGAGGAAATAGGAAAATATACACATATTTGCACATTTTACGTATGTTGGAGGAGGTAATAAAGAGGACTTGGCTGCCAGTTGACCTGCAAAAGGAAACACAGAAAAAGTTAAACCAGAAACTAACGAAATTGGTTATCTACAGGAGGTGGAGGAAATGGAGTGGAACAGTTATGGTAGGGAATGACACTTCCCTAAGTATACAAGTTTTTATAGTTTTTACTTTTGTAATAATGTAAACATTTCTAAAATAATCCAAATATAAAACCAAATCATTTGGTTTTTCAAGATAAAAAAATTCTAAAGATGAATAAGATGAATAGTGGTGATGATTGTACAAAAATGTAGATGTACTTAATGCTACTAAATTGTACACTTAATAATTATTAATGGTAAATACTATGTTATGTACAATTTTTAAAATAAATTAGAGGAGTACCTGGCTGGCTTAGTTTGTAGAGCATGCAACTTTTGATCTCAGGGTTGTGAGTTTGAGCCCCACATTGGGTGTAGAACTTACTTAAAAAAATAAATAGATAAAAATTTAAAAAATAAAATTAGAAAAAATTTAAATCATATCAGTAAGAATGTGGTAAAATTTAAATTGAATACAAACAGAAAAAGGGAGCTTGACACTATTTCAAATGAAAAACAACCACACTAAAGAAAAAAAACTAATCTGAACAATTTATGAACACACCGCTTTGATTATATCCCATTAGTCTAAAGAAAAAAAACTACAAGCAAATCTTAAATTCTACTAAGTAGGTTTGTTTTTCATAGTAATATGAGTATAGCAATCCTGAAAATTTATTTTGTATAATACAATACGCATAAACACTGATATTAGAGCCAGGATTCTCACTCTGGAAGAAGGGAGATACAAATATGAAATGAGGGAAAGTAGAAAAGAGCTTTTGGACTGGAATTGGAGGTGTTAGTATAAATTTATCATTCATAACATATATTCCTAGCTCTATTTGCTGAAAGGACTAGAAGCAATGACACTCCAATATCAATGAGCATACCTGGTACTGAATATATGTTGCTAAATGCCATCTCTAAAAGAAATTAGAGCTTCTTAGAGGATTGGCTAGTTCCAATGCTGGGCAGGGAAAGTACAAGATGAACCTTGAACATCTTGTGTCAGAAAAAAAAAAAAACAAAACACGTGCTCAAAAAGAAAAAAAAAATGAAGTTATGTCAAAAAATACATATAAGACACCTTGAAGGGAATCCTAC